AGGATATCGCCTCGTCTAAAGACACCAGCATGTCTTTGCATTGTTTTTTGCATACGAAGCCTGAGCTCAGCGGTCGGCACATCGCCCTTTGCATAGCGCATCGCGTCCAGATTCGCTATGGACGCCTCACCTGCACCATCTGGCAGTGTTGGCATCCGCTCGTCAGGTTTCAACTCATCTCGGATGCTGAAAACATCCTTCTGTGAACAACTGATATCACCACTTTGAGATGTTCTATCGAATTCACATCAGAATCATAGTCCGACTGTTGAACCGTCGTCATCTATTTATCCACCCAATTCTTAGAACACGTTTGTGAAGAAGACAAACTTAATCGAGCAAGCACGTCCGAAGACAGCTGCATCGAGAATTGAATTTGCACCCAGACGATTCGCACCGTGCACGGAGTGACAGGCACACTCACCACAAGCGTATAAACCAGGAATTATCTGGAAAGTTTCTCTTTGCTTTTCTTTAATCAGCATGGGATTTTTCTTTCGGTGTATTCGAAGCCAACTGCAAGCCTGAATGGCTGTATGGCTTCCATTTACCATAGAAGTTAGAAAACGCAGTTTATCCATTAAATGCGTATAGTGCTTGACAAATATCAAAATTGTTCCAATCACGTTCAATGATAAACTGACATATTATCCCGGATTGATGACCAGTATGTGCTCCAGATTCATATGAAACGCTACAGAACGTTCCCACACTCGAACACATTAACTTACCTTATCGCCACCTTCTTTCGTGTACGTTATCACTTGCGCCTTATAGTTGGTCGGAATACCACCCATATTNTGATAAACTGACATATTATCCCGGATTGATGACCAGTATGTGCTCCAGATTCATATGAAATGCTACAGAACGTTTCCGCACTCGAACACATCAACTTACCTTATCGCCACCTTCCTTCGTGTACGTTATCACTTGCGCCTTATAGTTGGTCGGAATACCACCCATATTGTAGTGAACTGTTGGTATAACCGGGATTGGTTCCTTCGTTACATCAACTCCAGCGAATATCTTCGCTGTTTCCGAGATTCCTGAAAAAGAATATGTAAGAAACAGTAGTTTGTCTACAGAGCACGATTTGCATGATGTTCAAGTGGTGATAACTGACGGATCATGACTACTTGATCAAATAGTTCAAAAGTGATCAACAATCAAATCATAGTGCCTGGGAGACGCTGATGAATTTGTTGTGCAGGCAGATGGTGCAGCTGCAAAAAGATATGATCCTTCTCAGGGCCGACGCCACGACCCTCCATGATTTCGATAGTTTCAGCTCGAGAAACAACATCACGTGATGCTAGATCTTTGGCATTCGGTGCGTACTTTTCCATAAATCGCTCACCCTTACTGTTCACCAAATAACCACCCTCACCTGTTGAATACTAGTTTCATTAGAAGATAAAAAAATGCGATTCTCTTGAGCAATTCTCAGTGAAGTGATTGTTCGTGAAGAAATTTTTCACCATGCGTTCACGCTCAAAATAACCAACTAAATCGGGTTTTCGGTTCGTTTCGCTCTCCTCAAAACAACTATCCTTTCACTGAATTCGACTGATTCATTCGAATGTGATTCTCAATTTACTGTTGTAACATCTCAAACTGCTCATATTACTTCGTTGTTTCAGCAGTTCCGGCTAAAGAAGTTTATCTCGACTTCAAACTTCCTAAGGAACATTGATTCAAAGAGGCCGCTTTTCCGAAGAAATTCTAGGCGGAATGCTGAAGACATTCACAAGTTGCACCAGTCGATGTGGACTATAGCAAACTTGCTCATACCTCTGGATCCTTCAGTGATCAAACATCCCACTCCGTAGATTCCAGTTGGATGAAACTGAATGAATTCCATATCCTCCAATGCGACTCCGGCTCGAGTGGCTATTGCCGTGCCATCGCCTGTATTCATGTGTGCCGTTGTACAACTGAAGTACGCACGTCCATAGCCACCGGTCGCGATAATCGTTCGTTTTGAGCTGAATGAACACGAGCCATCAATGAAACTCACTCGATGCACTGCTTCACAAACTACTTTCAGCTATCCTTTCAGGTATTCAGGAAAACATGAACGTATGCAACGCACCAAAATGACGCATTTCAATAAATTCTCTAATGCCATCTTATGATGCGAAATCTTTATCTTGGCAGCAAATATCAGCGATGAATGTGAATAGTGAATAAGTGAAAGAACCAGAAGCGATGAATTGTTCCATCTTCGAGACACATTGCGATCACACCGATACATCGGCCTTTGTCCATCAAAAGATCGAGCGCAAAATACTCAATAAAGAAATTGCAGTTACATCGCAGCGAATTGCCGTACAAAGTGTGCAACATTGAATGACCAGTACGGTCCGCGACAGCACACGTTCTGAAATTTTTGCCACTGTTCAAATTTTTTCGATAGAATTTGATATCATTTGCTTCGGGATCAGACTAAGTTTGGAAGCTCACACTGGTGTCTCTCCGTTTTGCTGCACCAAAATCATTTGCACTGAAATATTCGATAAAAATTCGA